CCCCTTTGCACCCCACAGAGTCATGTCCTTCTCTTGAACCCCTGACCCTCTTTCCACTTTTATTTTCCTTTATTCCTTCGTTCATTCCCAACCCTCTTCATTGAACAGATGTTTGCTGAGCCCTCCATGGGGTGCCCCTGGTCTTGTTCTAGCCAACAGGCAGCCCCTGGGGCACTAATTTTCCTCTTGGACAGACACTCCCGCTCTGCTTTCCTTCAAACCCACGCCTGACCTCCACAGCCCCACAGCAATCTTCCACTCCCCTCTCTACAATTTGACAGTTGTGCTTGCGCCCAGGACCTTCTCCTCCCTGTCTCCCCACAGCCCTCACTGCTCGCCCACTCTGACCTCTCCAGAGAGCATGATCCCACCTCCTTACCAGCCCAATCATTCCCGTCCTGGCCCACCTCAGAAACAAAGGCATGGGCATTCGCCCTGACAAAGGGGCCAGATTTCAGGGATCGGGTGCCAGGACAAGGGACCCTTCCCAGATGGCTTCTGCTGGGGATAGGTGTGGGTGGGATCTCGGGATCTGATCGGTTACCCCCGCTGAGGTGCAGGGAAGGGGAAGGAATTGGCGATCTCAAGTGGGAGGGACGGAGAGAGGGAAGACAGAGGAGAAGGATGGAGAGGGAGGGTCATATCCCTGCTGCTGGCCTGTGGTTACCCCAGCCTCCAGAAGGTCGGGACTGATCAGTTGCTATAAGAGTCCTGAGGGAAGACCCAGGTCCCTCTGCTGCTCCAGCTCCCTCTCCCTTTCCCGCCTTTCCACGAAGGCCAATGAGCTTCCAGCAGTGCCTTCTACCTCCCACCCCTGTGGCCGCTGGCCAATGAGCTTCGAGATCCACTGATGCTCCCGCACAGCTTGACGCACCGCGGTCGCGCCCCCTCGCCTCCTAGTGGCTTCTCGCACTCACTTCACCAGGCAGGCCAGTTGCTCCCAGGGTGGGGTTGAGCTTTGTGCTCCCTACTGCTCTTTCCCAGACTAGTCTCCCTTTGAGGTGACACAGGTGCTCTGCCTGCATTTTCAACTCCTTTACTTGTCATGCTGTCAGTTCCCCTTCTCAAAATGCAGCACTCGATGTGTCGGCTAAGGCAAGAACCTACATCTTATTCATCATGTCCAAACACATCTTTGCTGTTCTTTGTCTTGGGCTCTTCTATGTAAATACAAGTCAAGCTCTGCCTGTCGAGTTCCACTGGCCCGCTCTCACTGGCCATGGGTTTGGATTGCAGTTTGACAGAATCTATGGATCAACTAAGCGGGTACTGAGAATCTATAGGATATCCATCCTTCTCACTCATCGACCAGGATGGTCTCTCTCCACTCACGTGGGTCTTGAGAGTTTTCATCTCTCACGTACCTTCCAATTTTGCCTTTTGTACACTCACATCTCTTGCTTCATTTATTGTCTTTACCCCAGGATGCTCTAGAGTGTTGCTGTCCTGGTGTTTGGTGCCTATTCATAGTGACAATCCTTTTTTTTTTTTATTTTTTTTGGATTGAGATGATAGAAATGCATCTGAATTTTTAACAAGCATATTGATCACAAAGTCAGCCACCATATTGAACACTATTGTATCTCCACATTCCGATATAGGTATTCTGGGATACCCCAGGAATCTGTGAGTATTGGGAATTCAATTAATCCTATGGGCTTCCTACAGTACCGGCTTTGCCACCCGATGCAACATCTAACAGAGATGACAGATTTGGGCTTCTACAGATTGCTCCTGATTTTAAAGACAACACTGTCAGAATTTTCATGTAGAAACTGTCTCCCTGCATTTCCCCCTTCATGAGGTCATTCCTTCTTCCTTCCTTCCTTCTTTCCTCTCTCTTTGCCTCTCTCCATTCCTCCCTTCCACTTGCCTCCACTTCTTTCCCTTTAACCACATGCAGCAATGTCCCTTTCATTCCTCAGTTCAAAATTTCATCCTGCAAACTCAAGTAGATACCGCTTGTGTGGAAATCAACAAAGCAGTAGTCATTTAATCCATGAATACATTGACTGACCTGGATAGGTTTTTCCCCAACCTGGAGTAAGATTCCCCTTACAACCGACAAAAACGTAGACACCATAAGGGAACATCACAGCGAGTTTTCAACAACGTAGATGTATGCATCTAATTAGCATCTACAGCAAGCAACCCAATGACTCCATTAGCAATACAGACCTCTTGGATGCCCCCCTTCCATCTCTTGTTTTCTAATGCTGTGCCAGCTTTGCGCTCCTAGGATAAAATGTCACTTAGGTATGGTTATATTATCTTTGCTTTATGCTGGGTGACTCAGCTTGCTAAAATTTGCTTAGGATTTCTGTGTCTTGCTCATGAGGGAGATTGATGTGATGTTTCTTTCTCTCAGGTTGGTTCCAGAATCAAGGTTCTTCTCCATTTAAAAATTTGTGTGTGTGTGTGTGTGTGTGTGTGTGTTTGTGTGTATGAGAGAGCAAGAAAGAGAGAGAGTATGTGTGTGTGTTTATGTTTGTGTTTAACTGTTTTGAAACTTTACTAAGAATTGTTCAGTAACACATCTGGGTTGTGGTTCCTTTACTTCCAAGCCTGTGTTCTTTTAATTTCAAACATATGCAAATAGAATATATAGACGCCCTACAAATAATCTCCAGGTTCATTACACTAGACCAGTGGTCCTGGAATATGGGCTTGTATCAGATTCACCTACACAGCTCTTCAAAACAGAGATCACAGACAGGCATGGTGGTGCACACCTGTAATCCATCGCAGCAACTCAGGAGGCTGAGGCAGGAGGACAGCAATTTCAAAGGCAGCCTGAACGACTCAGTGAGGTTCTAAACAACACAGCAAGACCCTGACTCTAAATAAAACATGAAAAAGGGCTGGGGATGTGGCACAGTGGTAATGCACCCCTTGAGCTCAATTCCCAGAACAACAACAACAAGAAAGACAAAAAATAACAAAAAAAGAAAAGAAAAACACAGATCACCGGGATGCATATTTGTACTCTCAGATGACAAGATCTACATTAGGGCCTAGAATTCATTCTTTTAACCATTTCCCTGCTGTTTCTTCTGCTGCTGAGGGACCAATGGAGAGTCCCTGTACAAGAGAGGTCAACATAAGGTATTTTCCATTACCTAGCTCTCACCTGCAACCATTAGTATCTTAGGGCCTATCTCAGCTCATACATAACCTCACCCCACCTCCTCCTCCTCCTGATTATTCTCAAGC